ATTATTCACTACTTACGAATAATTTGAATAGAATTTTCAAATTTGCATATATTTGACAAATATAGAAATATTCACAATTGTTTAACGTTAGAGATGCATTCTGGGGTCATTTATTTATTGGGTTCTTAGAGCTATTATGTAAAATATTTGATGAGCTCAATTGTTTTCTAGTTTCTTATTACGTTACCACATCGAAATCTTCGCTCTTACGCTGCACATATTATCCTAAACATTCTAACAAATTGTGGTTTAAAATATGTTTTACTGATTTGTTTATCAATAATACCTGCGTATTGTTATCGATTAATGCCATAGACAAAGTAACCCGAAAAATTGCTTCACAAATTCTTACCTTCTAATTGAATTGCGTCGTTATGCACTGTCACGTGTCCTGTAACCTACTCTTTTACAATATCCAGGTATAAACATTATCATTGTTGATACTGTATATGCACTATTTAGCCAATTTAAACCGAATAAATATGCAAAGCAATAACCTTGACATTATCTAAGTTATTTACCGCAGATGTATTTGGAATTACTTTATATTGTGTGTTTCAGAATACATACCTTTTTAATGGTGTGAAATTTCTGACACTGAATTCTACGTTCTACGTATGGTATTCAGGTAAGACAATGTTTGATAATGGTCAAAAGAATTATTTAAGAAAATCGAAAGATTTCATATAATGCATTATATATTGCATAAAACCAGTCACTTGTCGGGACACGGGGCTACAAGAATCAAGAATATCATTTGTTGTGGTTGTTACCTGTTGGTATTCCCTCGTAATAATGAAACATCGGGTGCAGAAAGAAGGTCGTGTGTGCCTGGTTGGCCAAGTTCAGCTCCACTCCTAAATATGAAGAGAAGCAGAATAAAGACGTTTACTTTTACGGTTGGTTAGGGAACTTCAAACTAATATAGCTCCTACAGTTGTGTTTTGTTCTTGTAAAAATGAAGCACTATGTCGGTGCGTTGTTTATCTACGTAATTGTGCTTTGTTCATTCAGAATGTGGAGTGTATTTTACGACAACAACATTTTACACCCCACCTTTCCCGGGTCCGTACTGCAGAGTGAATGTAATAATTCGTTGTGCTTCTTTCCCAGTAATATTCTTAAATGTTGGCAACAACGGTAATGGAAAGTCTTCAAGATATTCGTATGTTTCGTCACTGAAAAGAAATCATCGAAATTGTAAAAAGTAATAACATGCAACATCTTGGAAATGAGCAATTTATGTTTCTGGCCAGCATTATTTATATAGACTTGAATCAGGCAAGGAGCGAATATTTAACAATTATATATGACAAAGTCAATAAATAAAAAATTTAGTTCGTAGCTAAGCATTACTGGGGTGGCGTGAAACAAGTTGAACACCGCATAGTTCTACCTTGCCCGAAGCGGTCTTCAATTTAGAAGTAATAAGTAGACGGACGAATGATGTAATTGAAAAGACAACAATCGGTAAAATAATACATGCATGAAGAACACATACCGTAAAGAATTGGAAAAATATTAACAAGGCACAATTCTTGACCTACATGTTAGTCCATCCACTGCAAGCAATTGTAGTCATTCAGAAATTACAATGTTGTTCACATGATGCTGAAATCTTACCCTGATAATATCATGACGTCACTGAATACGCCAAACATTTGGTACAAACCAGAAGCTTCATTCACTCGTTTGACAATATGATTCAATAATTCTGAAATTGACAATTTAATGGACGGCCATTGTTTTCTATGGTTCTGGTATTCGAGTATTCTGTGAAGAGCCTGAGCTGTAAAATCAAATATCAAACACGAACATGTAAAAAAAATCGTTAACATAAATATTGTCATGTCGTGTGTGAGTTTGTTTACTAATACAACAATTAATATAATTTAACAGTGTTCGTTGTGATTTCGAGATCTTACTAACAATATGACTGACGTAGTCTTAGAACGAGGTACGGCGGATGAAAGAAATTTGAGGTAGAATCCTACTCATAATTTTTGACAAAATTGGTCATAAATCGCATGACAATGTTTATTAGTTTGCGATGTAAAATCATGAAGCTAATGTCTCATGTTACAATGAAATAACATTATTTTGTGTGTTGCACTTTAGCTTTTTGAGAAACGTAATATTTCTTGAAAATCGCTATTTAACACAGTGTTAAAAGAAATGCATTTTTTTACACTTTTAAAACCCAGATTTTTTAAATAATTCAGAACAACAAAAAAATACTCCATCATTACCAATATATGATTTATTCAGCCTATGTTACCAGGCTAGATTTTGAGATATTGGGAACCTCTGGTATATACATTATAATAGTGCCAAAATAACGACTTTTCACTAAAATATAACCTTCAATTTCTCGAAAGTAAGGCTGGTGACTCCCAACTTTTTTTAAGTCAATATCCGTATATTGCCTCGGAGTACAATTTATTGCAAAATAAATAAATTCTGGGTATTTTAATTTATGAGTAGGCTTCCATCTTAATGAGGACAGCGTATGCTACTACCCAGACTGCTTTACATTGCTGTGACTTTTCAGTGATTTTTTGTAAATCTCAAGAAAGTGTATAGCCTGGGCAATGTCCTTGAACAATTACTTCAATGTCACAATAGCTAAATTTACGTATGTTTCAATTTGCAAATAGAACAATCCGCAAAGACAAAAGTCACAATCAATGGCCGAAACTGTCGCCTTGCAAAAACAAATAAAAAAGAAATAAATAAATTCTTCGGTATTTTAATTTCGGTTCACTCATTTTTATTCTGAATCGAATAACTTTATAAATATTCGTGGCGCCATTTGAAATAGACGTTATTGTTTAAATGTCGGCAAATATTTTTATGTTAATCTAAGCTCCTTGTTGTGCAGATACAATGTATGATACTTATTCAAAGCCATCATAATTACTTGTGTAACGGAACCCATGTAGAAAACCACCAGACGACTTCTTGAAATCCAGCGAGTGTGTCACTGTTCCTGCAAAGTATAATCCAGGAACGCCAACTGCTTGGTAGGTGTGATCTATGAGAGGATATTTAGGTCGTCGATTTTTCTTCTTCGGGATTTTCGGTTTCGGCCGGCATGTTCTATAAACATAACAAGTATTATTATACATCTGTAATCGTAACGCCATAAGTTACAGCGTGCCTCAATTTTGCGGTACGGTATTGCATTGGGTATTGGTATTGCATTTCATCCTACCATATTAGGACACGCGAATTCCAAATATGGAACGATTGCAAGCGTAATAATAATAAAAACAAATATGGCTGCCCCGGGGTTTGAACGGGTCCCACTGTCCAAACACTGGCGGCGCCCTCACTTCCGTTCCTCTCGTTCGGGTTTTCACCACTGTCACACCGTAATTTGCATATGTTCTGTAATTTACATAAAAAATGTGGTGAATCACAAAAACTTTTTCAAACGAAGATTATGTGCATATAACCTTTATGACTTTTTACGAAATAAATATGCTGATGTTCATAAATAAGAAATCATCCAAAAGAAAGTGTCTTTATGGTGTATACATGTTACTTTTGTACGAGACCGGTTTTTCAAAGTGGAAGTATATTCATGTTTACATGTGTGATGTTTGGCTAAAAGAAACCTGCTTTCGCATGTCAAAGTCTGTTTTACTTTATCAAAACTACCTTACACTAGTCTTGCGAAATCGCAAGATTTAAATGAAGGGGAAAATGCGTGTGATAGCGAATATTCGAAGTTCATATACAAGAGCGGAATAAAAATATTTCAAAACTACTGCGCAATACGAAGAGAATTCGAACGTCTTTGATTACGGATTACGTTCTATAGAACATATGCAAATTACGGTGTGGCAGTGGTGAAAACCCGAACCAAAATAACGGAAGTGAGGGCGCCGCCAGTGTTTGGAGTGTGAACGGACCCCAGTTTGCTAAATCGGCATTCCTTTGATGTATTCCTGGGAGGAAAAGACAGTACGCAGTCGCTGTACTGTCTTCGTACATACTTTGCAGTATCCTCGTATTAACCTCATATTTCATGAAACTCGACTGATTGTTCCTTCCAGAAATGATTCGCCACAGTATCTTGACATTAACACATTAGATATTGGAACATGCATGATGGAGACTTGAATTCAGGTACATACTTGTCAAAAATACTGAAGTCGAAGAGAAATCCCGTGCACCTGATGACGTAGTCATATTCCTTCCTTAACATGTAATTATCTTTGTTAGATAACAAATGATTATTCCTGATACTTATTTTCCCACTGCTTTCGTCCTTCAAGAATCGTAGTTGTTCCATGCCAGTTCCCTTACGAGTCACTAATATTCCATCTAAAGACTTCAAATAGAAGGTATCATATAATTCGTTGTTCACCGCCCTAGAATTGTGAATGGAACATTTATTAATCCGGTTGTTGCACTTCGCCGAGAAGAACGCGTTTTAACTGTTTAAAGAAATATAGTTTACAATCGTTGAATTACAGTGAAATCCATGAAGGTATGAATATATTTACATAAATGTTTATTAATGTTTTATAAATTACAAATTCTGTTTGGAACAAGTTTACCAGCCACAGCGTGTTAACGGATGAACAGGTAATGTGCGTTACCAATTACAGCGTATACCGTGGATTTGAATGTGCGTCCTGTTCGATATGGGACATATTAAGACAATTCTGAGTCAGTTATTGAGAGGGCTTAGTTTGGAATATTTTTTGCAATTCTTCATGACG